CGTCTCCATTTCCAAGTGCAAAATCTTCTTTCTTCAGGACTCCTTTTTCTATGTGAAGTGTTTTGCATTTGTCTAAGCCAAACTCCATTTGTATGTCCTTGGTGTATGAATGTGTGATTTGTAGGAGCTGCTGTAGTTGTTTTTGTGTGGAAACGTAAAGTTTTATGTTGTCCATGTACATGAGATGTGACAGCGTAAACTGTGTTGTTTTTTTATGTCTGACATTGTAGCCATTGCGTGTTGTTTAACATGTTGGATAATGGGTTCAGGGCTAGGCAGAACCAGAGAGGACTCAAGGAATCTCCTTGAAATATTCCTCACGTAATGAATATCTCGTTTGTACGGAAGTGTTACTAACCCTGAGATGCAGTGTTGTTCTCCAGTGCTGCATAGTGTTTTCGAAGAATGCAATGAGTGATGGATGTATTTTGTACATGTGTGGAACACTGTCGAATGCTTTTCTGTAGTCTATATATGCCATGTGTATGTTTCTGTGTTGTCTGTGTGCTTGCCGTAGAATGACTGAATCCATGAGTAACTGTTCTTTGCATCCCCTGTGATTTCTACGGCAACCTTTTTGTTGTTCTGTAAGGATGTCGTGTTCTTCAACATGTTTGTATATTTTGTTTGTGATACAGGATGTCAATAATTTGTAGAGTGTTAGAAGACATGTAATTGGTCTGTATTGTGTGGGGTCTGTGGTGTTGTTGTTTTTAGGTTTCATGTAGGTGATGCCCTGAGTAAGAAATTTTGGCATGTCTTGTGGATTGATGATGATGTGTGTTAGATGTTTAGCTAGTTCCTGGTTTCCTGGTGCAGTGATGTTTACACCAGGTGTTCTAATGTTGTCTACACCAGGTGTCTTCCAGTTGTGTGTTCTGTTAACAGCGTAGCGGATGTCGTGTACATTTATTTCAGCACAGGGCATAGTTGGTATGTTGTGCAGGATTCTGTTCTCCTCCTCAATCCAGCCTGCATCAGCATTGTGTGTGTAACAGCATTGGACCAAAGAGAAGACCAATAAGTTGTGAGTTCTTCTTCTGTTGGTGTGCCACTGTGCTGTGTATCAGTGTTTGTTTTGGTAATGATTTGTTTGTAGAAAAGTTTTTCATTGTTTGTGAATAATTTATTTTGTTGTTTTCGTAGTGTACATGTTTTGTATCGTTTGAGTCTACGTGCTTTGGCTGCGAGTTTCTGTTTTAGTGTATCGATGTATTCTGTAATGTGTGTGTTGTGATGATCATGTTTTGTGTGTGTTTTGATTTTCTTGAAAATGTTTTTGAGTTGTTTCTTTAATTTGGGTGTTATGTTGTTTTTAGTGTATTGTGTCAGCCTGCCTAATTGCTGTCTAATGTCATTTATTTGTATTTCTATTTTTCTCTGCCAGGCAGGCTTGTGATAGAATTGTGTTTTGTGTGTGTGTGTCTGCGATTGTATTTTCAGTCCATGGTGTGTTACTACTGTGACTGCCCCAGCATACACTAATATATGAATGTCTGAGAGTGTAGAAATTGAATGAATGTAGGTTGGTAGTAAGTGAGTGTTTACATAATTTAGTGTTTTTCCTACTACCTTTGACATGTTGATTTTCGGTATTCGTGGTCTTTGTGTGGGATCTGTGCTTGTATATTTAGTGAGTGTTTCCTGAAATATAAGTGAGAGTGTATTAACTAAATCTATATCTATGTTATCAGTGATGGATGAGGAAATGCTGTAGTATCATTAATGGTAGTTGTTGTATGTGTACTATTATCAATGCTTGTTGCTGGATTATCCTGACAGGTTACATGATCTTCATTAATGTTAAATGTTTCTGCCTGTTGATGTATTTGATCAACAACCTGCTGTTTGATAAGTTCAAATGCTGTTTGTGGGATAAGGTTGTTGTGTATAATTGTTCTTTTTGATCAACAACCCTTTGTTCGGTGACAGTGAGGTGAGGATATTGTTGTGTGAATCTATGGTGTAGTTGTTGTCTGTATGCTGTCATGTTTGTTTCGAGTCTTGTGATTGCGTAGTAAGTATGGATGATAAATTCGTTCATTTCTGTTGACCATTTCATCCGTTGGTGTGGTTTTCCAGCCTTTGTGGTCTGTGGATGCATTGCCACAGAAACATCAAGGCTAGGTTGATTCCTCACATCTGTTGAAGGCATTGCAGTAGCCATGCTTGGACCAGTGCTGCTTTCGCCACCGGTAACCAAGGGAGACTGTGGCCTATTTTTTGAAGGTGAGCCTCTGCCTAACCCACGAATGTGGACCTTGTTAACCCGGGCGACGTCCGAGCCGGTATCACACTTCGATCTGGTTACTACCATGATAAATATCTCCATGTGGGTATGGTCACTCTTAGCTTCATTTCTCCCCATAGACCTTACTGGCATGGGTGTCCCTACCAGGAGCTTGTGCTCCAGCCTGCATTGCTCTATGGTTCAGTAAAATTACTGGGCTCTCCCACCATGACCAGGTGGTGACCACGGGAGAGTTATTATTATTATTATTATTATTAAAATCTGACTTAAAGTACTTTTTCAGGCTGCTATTTGTAGATGTAGTCAGCCGCTGTCCGGTTTCAGCGCTCGATGTGTCGAGGATGAAAAAATGCTAGATTGCATTCTTAAAGCTTGTCCTAAATCAAAATTTATGTATGTAGTTGACACTAGACCAAGGGTAAATATTTTATTATATGTAATCATTTCTGATGTAATTTAATAAATTAAAAACATTTATTTTGTTTTTTTAGATCAATGCATTTGCTAATAAAGCTGCAGGTAAAGGCTATGAAAATGAAAATTTCTATGAAAATATTAAATTTCAGTTTTTTGGAATAGAAAATATTCACGTTATGAGAAATAGCTTACAAAAGTTGATTGAAAGTAAGTTTAATGTAGAAAGTTTTATTTACTTCAAAATATGAGAATAAACTGTACACACAATTACATAAACACATTTTAAATTTTCTGACATATAATTAAAATAAAATTAGATGTATATAAACAGGATAATGTTGATAAATTTGTTTTACATGATTTAGATAAGAAATATTTTAAGTTTTTTATTTAAAAAAGAGAATACTTAAGAAAATGCTTTTTTTACATTATATGGATATTCTTTATTTGGAAAAGAATTTAAATAGAATGAATGCACTGTCACTTATCCAAATAAATCAGTTAAGCAAAATGGACTTCAGAGAGTACTAAAGCCAGAAATTATATATTTTTTTTTATGTAATAACAATTGGAATCTTCCATTGGCATATTGATCTATATTGTTATCAGTACTTGTGTTATGTTCTATTTATTACAAGTAGAACAAAGTCTATTACAAATAAAAAAGCATGATTAATGAGTCAAACACTTCTGATGTGCCAAATGCTTCACTGTGCCTAAACACAGTGAAGATTTGATGTATTAAAGACCATGTTATTTATGTTTTGCAACTATGTAAAACATAGTTGCAAAACATAATAAGTAATTTTTTTTTTAAATTAATTGTGAGTACTTTATTTAATATTAATTTTATTATTATGTATAATAACAAAATGAAAGAGCAGTGATCTGTCTAAAAATGATCCCCAAGATTTTTACATTTTTGGACTTGGGACATCTTGAAACATTGAGAAATGCAAAAAGATTATATATTCATGGAATACCATATGCCAAAACTTCAGCATTGTGAAAGTGATCATCAAGCAGCACATTACACTTAGAATAGTCATATACATATAGGTATTGGTTTGGCTAGAAAGTGCTGTAGAAGACATTATCATAGTGTCTATTAATTAGCATACTGTATAATGTTGGCTCTTTCATAAGCACATCAGCATTATTGTTGCCACAAGATTTGTCAACATTGTATTTTTAATTTGCACCTCATTCTCATGTGTCTGGAAAATTTACGTATTGCTTCAGAATTATCACATAATTTGCATGCCCCTCTTTTAAATGAATAACTATTTTACCATAAACCTTGCAGTGGAACTAACACACATATATAATATGCATATATACTCATATAGTGCTAGAAAGATCTCTTTTGCATCTGGATAAATGAAGCCCTTGGGGACATGTAGTGCTAACCCTCAGAATCACATTTCTGAAATAACAGAGTTTAAATGTTTGAAAAAAATCTGAAATGAAAAATTCCAGAACATTGAAATGACAACCACATTTACAAGCAATGTTCAGAGAGCAAAAATATTAACACACGCCTATTCATATAATTTTAAGATTTTTTTCACATGTTCAAACTCAATCATCTCAGAAACGTGATTCTGAATGTTAGCACTGTATGTTCCCAAGGGCTTCAAATGTTAAAATGAATACCCTGTGTATTTGTATAAAATTAATTTTTCATATATTTATATATATACGAAAAATTAATTTTATACCCAGTTTGATTGTACTTTCTTGACTGTTATATATACACATGACAAGGGAAAGTATTGGAATTATGTCAAATTTGACCTTTGAGATATTTTGCAAATCTTCATGTTTTGAGATCCTCTGAACCAGGGCTGTGGAGTCAGTAAAAAAACACTTAACTCCAACTCAGACTCCTGATAATTTTGGCAGACCGACTCTGGCAAAATTAAATACCAATTCATTTTATGGGGGGCAGAGACTCATAGGGGTTACTCTACTCTGAACTCTAAAAGGAGCCCCAGCATTTACCCAAATACTTTTATGGTTAGCATTTTTAATATTTAACTTACATTAATATTTATTTGTATAAAAAAAGTAATTTTTAACAAATATTTAACAAGAGGAGAAGGGGGGACAATAAAATTCTACATCTACATATATTCGACAGCATTTGCACTTCGATTTCACCCTTACAGAAGAGTTAGTCCAACTAAAAAGTGTGCAATCTAGCTACTTCAGCCCCTTGTTCAGAAAAGAAAAATATATACTCTGATCAATTAGTCTGGCTCATTCAGAAAAATAGAATACAGTAGAGCGTTGATTATCCGAAAGTCAATCATCCGAAACATCAATTATCCGAAAGAATTCCAGTCGACAAATTTAAATTTTCGCCAGTGCTGTGGCGCTGCAATCTTTGGCTATGTCTTGGGCTACTCAAATATTTTACGTTTTTGATACTAAATTAACTTCTGAAGTATAATTTTTTATTGTTTTTATATTTTTCAATATATNTATCGTAAAACTGGATTAAAGTAAAAATACCCGTTTTTCGACGCTAAATTTTTATTAATTAATTTTTTAATTTGGTGCCTAATTGACCGAGTGCGCGTAATTTCTATTTGACAAAGCACGCGCGTGCCGACGGGTTAATTAAGTCGGGGGGTCGGAAATCGCAATAAAAATTTTAATTTTTTAAAAATATTTAAAAATATACAGCCAGCTAGTATTCACCCTACTATAAACCCATCGCCTCCCGGGAAATCCAACTCCAGCTATGTTCAAGGTCATCCAGCTGTAAACACAATGAAAAAAAAACGAAAGAACTGCATTAATTTTGAAGAAAAAGCTTCAAACTTTATTTTCCTTTGTCTCGCCTTTCTGCGAAATTTGACACCAATGAATCAGTTTTAAATATTTTTTATGTTTAATTACATTAATATCAAAAATTGCTGGGAACTAAAGGTGTTAATTCCAAAATATTTGGCAGTTTCTTAAAAGAAAGTGCTGTTTCACTTTGCTTCTATAATAAATTAATTTTTTAAAATTTAAATAAATATTAAAGTCCAAAAGATACTTAAAGTTCTCTTTTAAACTAGCAAGTTAAAATTACTCAGTTTTTCCCGATTTCAAAGAAACAAAAAACACTCAAGTGGAAAGAATTGAAGTTAACAATCATTTACTTTATTAAACCTTTTCACCATATGCATTTCACTTTACAGCCTCTTCAGTGGTTATTTCGTTTAACCTATCCCAGCATGCATCTATGTTGACTCCCGTATTCAAATTAATAGTATTTGCATAATCTTTAATACAATAGTGTTCCACAATGCGTCTTATAAATAAATTCTCTATATTATACAATGTTTTTATGTTATTACGATTAATAGTATAGGTGTTATTACTACAATGTTTATTCCAGGGAGATTCTATTCTTTTCAATCGTATTGCCGCTTCGTGCTCTTTCAATCTTATTCCGGGTTTTCTTCCTTTCTCGCCGATGTAAACCTTCTTATCTGTGCNGATGAATTGGAAAGGATACATAAATCGAAAGGTCCAATTAAAAAGGCAGTGCTATACAAACAACTTTATCAGATGAAAAAGGGAACTGAACAATCAATGTCGAGACATGTAAGTGAATTTATGGAAAAGGCTGAACAATTAGAAGAAGCGGGTATCCCAATTCCAAGTGAGTTACTATCTATAATGTTACTAAATTCATTGCCTGATGAATACGAGACATTTCGAATTGCCATCGAGTCCAGAGACGACATACCGAAACCTGAATTATTAAAAATAAAATTAATTGAAGAAGAAGTAAGACGACAAGAGAAGCAAGAATCTTTAGTCGAACAAAGTGCTCTGTACATAGGATCGAAACAAAAGAAAAGTTCCTTCCGACAAAACTACCCAAAAGGAAATAGTCGTTCTTCTTCACAATTCACAGGAACATGTTACATATGCGCTAAACCGGGCCACTGTGCAGCTGAGTGTAGAAGTAATAATAGATATTCGCAAAGGAACAATACACGCAAAAAGAATGACGCTATGGCGGTCACAGTACAAACGGCTCAACCTCTAAACTCAACAGACTGGTGTCTTGATAGCGGAGCAACCGCACATATGTGTAGCGACTGTACGAAATTTACAGAGATAAATCAAGATCACAAAGAAATACAAACTGCAGGAAAAGATGCAGTTAAGATCCGTTGGAACTGGAACAATTAATATAAGCGTGCGTGTCAACAACACCAATAATACAATCAAGCTACAAGACGTGATAGCCGTTCCAGATTTGAGAAACAACTTGATATCTGTACCTAAAATTACAGAACTTGGATATTCTGTCACATTCAAAAGAGAATCTGCAACTGTCACTCGCCAAGATGGTTCCATCGCCTTGATAGCAAAGAAAAAGGATCAGCTGTACGTAGTAGAAACTAGATCTGACTCAGTATTGAATGCGGAAGAAAGTGACAATCTTTTGAGATGGCATCAACGACTTGGTCATCTAAACTTCAACGATTTAAAAGAAAAAGGTAAAGCCAAAAAATGGAAAGATCTGAACAGAAAAGGGGAAAGAAAAGAGGGTGGTGATATGGATGCATTTTTAGATAAAACAGATGTAAATACTCAGGATATGTCTATTCCATCGCTATTACCTACTCCAGATTCAAATGTGGTCGAGGTCATTCCTCAGATAAACACTTGCGAATCAGATACTGATTTATTGGAAGAGAAGAGGAAAGTGGCCGAGAAAAATGAGGAAAACATAAGAGTTAGTATGGAAGTCCAGAATAGGATAAAAAATAATGAAAATTCCGTGACTGAAAACTCCATAAAAGAGCCAGAATTAAAGTATAATTATTCAGAAGATCAATGGAGTCCTATTAACCCCGAAGGTAAAAAGATATACGATCGGGCTTTCCTATTAAAATATCAAGGAGAACCACTCTGTTTGCAGAAACCGCGAAACCTTCCGTCGGTGGAAATAGTTAAAGAAAAGGCGCATCTCCAGAAATTACCGGACGATAATCGACCTGCATCCGCTCCTGTGCCGCCACAAAATTATTCGGATCCCTTCATGCCGAATTTCGCTAGCAGGCAGTCGCGCCCGCCTTCTGGAGGAATTGGAAGAAGACAGAGTCAACAAGGTCGTGATAAACCTAAAAAGATAATTACCATTTCAAGTTCTTTCAATCAAGATGTCAAATTACACGAATGGTTAAATGCCATGGATTCGGAATATAAGTCTTTAATGGAAAATAATACATGGGAATTAGTACCACGCCCAAAGGACAGAAAAATAATTTCAAATAAATGGGTGTATAAAAAAAAAAAAAAAAAAATTATTAAATGATAAGTTTCAGTGTATACGCAGACTCCGGGCACACCGATAGAGAGGGTGTTAGAAAGTTGTGTATCTGACCTTTGTCTTTGTGATCGTCGCGCCCTCCCCTCTGCTATGTGTGGGGTCTGTTATGTTCATCAAGGGAGTTGTACTCTGGCCCAGGTTGGTTGAGTTTGGAATGTGTGCTGTGGTCTAACGGACATCGCTTTCTAGTTCTCTCCACTTTTCTTTGTGTTACCTTCGACATTACCCTCCATTATATCCAAATCCTGACAACTTATTTAGAGCGGAAATAATAAAGGAATGAATCAAAAATATTCAAATTCAATTGGATCAAAATAATTTAACTACTGAACACAAATACTACAAAGAAAACTATTGATACATATTTAATAAATTAAATTGTTGCATTTTGTATTTAATTAAAATAAATGAATTTCAGTAGAGAGTCAATTATCCGAATCAATTGGGGACTGGGGTATTCGGAAAATTGATTTTTCGGATAACTGATTATGTATGGAAAAATACATTATTAATATAGTATATCCCAATAATAGTATATTAATATATCCCATGTTTAAATTTTTCTCTGTTGCGTGTCACTTCGTGTTGAATTTTCATCGATGTTAAGCCTAACAAAAATTTTTATTATAATAATCGTGGCTATTGTATCGTTAAAAATTATTTCTTTATTTTGTACAAACAAAATAAATATATTGAAAAATATAAAAACAAAAAAAATTATACTTTAGAAGTTAATCTAGTATCAAAACAAATTTGATTCAGCACGACAGTCTGACTGGAATGCTTTCGGTTAACCAACGTTTTGGTTGATCGGCATTTGTATAATCGACGCTCTACTGTATAACAAAATACAAAAACATTTTAAAAAATTATTAAATATATAATAAATTTTCTTTCATTTAAATAAAAAGAACTAAATTAAATTTAAAATGCTGAAGTCAGAGTTGACACATTTTTCCCGACTCCGACTCCACAGCCCTGCTCCGAACCCAAAAAGTCAAAATTGCAGGAAAATATTCCATGGTTGCATGTTTGTTGTTGGCATCTATTTTGTTTAATATCTCAGGATGGCTTAAAGATTAATAAATGAAATTTGGCATAGTAGCTTGTGTATAAGGGCCATTATGCTATTAAATTTTGGTGGTTAAAGGATGGTCATATGTCATATCTTGAGGTGTCAAACTTAATGAAGATTTTATTTGATATTTACATTCACAATTCTTTAAAAAAATTCATCAATATTCTCAAAAATACAAAAATATGTTTTTTGCTATTTTATGTAATAATTAATAATATAAACATTTTTATAACAAAAATATCATAATAGATGGTACCCTATACAACTATTTACTATGATTAATAATATAAAAGCTATTTTTAAAAATAAAACTTCATAACAAAGTTATGCAATTTGTTGCTGGATTTTTTCATAAAGATGAGGAAAGATGTTCACTTTATATGATTAGGACAAAGATGATTGCCCTTGCTTTTATTTTATCTGTTTTTTTTTTTTTGATAATTTCATTATTATTTTACTATTTGATTTGATTAATTGAAATTCCATATCTTATTGAATATTCCAGTTTTTGAAACAATGGTCTATCAAATGAAAACTTTTTTGAAGCTGTTATAATTATTTATTAACAATAATACTATCCAAGCATGGATGATAAGCTCTAGATGTTACTGCAAATTGGTGGAAAAGTCAAATCCATTAGAAAAATGGGTAGTTACTTTACTAATGTAAATTAACCATTTTCTAAACAAATTTACAAATGAAATTAGAACTTAACTAAATTGTTAATACAATAAGTATTAATTAGAATCTATACTTATTATTTGCAAACAATTTATCCAAATTAATTAATAATGTATTTGCTTTGATTTCTAAATTGTTTATGTATCTCTCACCTTCTGCAAGAGTAATAATCAAATTAATTTGATACCAATGTGCGCAATTGTAAACAAAGAAAAATGATAAACTATAGCTCAACAACAATGCATACCAAATTTTCATTTGTTCCATTTTCCTCACTGACATGGAAATAGATCATCCCTGGAAACCTGCTAACTGGAGCTCTTGGATTTGTGGTTGGACAGTAGTAAATAAAAACTGTCTTAGTATTGCAGCTTTGTGGTGCTTTCATCTTATATTTGTAATAATAATTTGACATTATAATACAGTTGACCCCCCCATAACACTTTATTATTCCGTTTTATATGAATTCCATGTTGTACAAGTCACTTATATTTTACAAATACATGTGCCGGGCTGTGAACAACTCACGTATTTGTAAAATTAATATCGTATAGTAGAACACTGATTATCTGAGGTAATGTGGACCAACAGGACAGTATTAGCAATAACCAAAAACTTGAAATAATTCTTGAACAGTACTAAATTTGTCAATAATATCAATTATTATAGTTAACTTAAAACTTACAATTTAAGCCTCTTTTTTTTTTAATGATAATAATAATAATAATTTATTATTAATAGTTTTACTTTCTGACACTTAAAATATGATACGTCTTAATTATTCTAGCCTGTGAATTAAAAGTGCCTTCGATGAGTGCATTTATCAATGGATTAGAAGCTAGTGGTTGGTTACGGCATGTTAAAATCATACTGGAAACTTCTGTTTTTATAGCAAATGTAAATTTACTTTTATTTACGATCAAATGAAATGTATTGAATTTGATATTTATAAATAAATATGAACTTTTTTTAGGCTGTAGAGGAAGGAACTAGTGTTCTAGTTCATTGTTCGGATGGATGGGATAGAACTGCTCAGACTTGTTCATTGGCTTCTTTGCTGTTGGATGCTTATTACTGCACAATTACAGGCTTTCAGGTGAATTATTTTAAGTAATTGAAATGTAAATTTTTACATTAAATAATTTTTTATTCTATTTAAATTGTATGAACCACAAACATGGTATCTGTGTAAGATTTAATAATAGTTTAATTTATTGTATCTTAAGCATGCTGAATGATATTTTATAATGTTTTTGATCATGTTACATTAATTTATAGTAATATTTTTTAGGCACTCATTGAAAAAGAGTGGCTTGCATTTGGACATAAATTTACGGATAGATGCGGTCATATACAAGGAGATCCACGAGAAGTTACGCCCGTATTTACGCAGTTTATTGATGCCGTTTGGCAGTTAACTCAGCAATTTCCTACTGCATTCCAGTTTAATGAAAGATTTTTATTGACAATTCATGATCATGTCTACTCTTGCCAATTTGGAACTTTTATTGGAAATTGTGAAAAAGATAGAGTAGATCTCAGGTAACTTTTTAAAGATGATACTTTAATATATTCTAGAAACGTTTAGATTTTTTAAAATAGTGTGTGTGTCATAGAAATGTAATCTCTAAAAGATTTTTGGGATTAACTTTAAAAAAGAATTCAGTTTTGAAATGAATATGTTCATATATCCTAGGTCTAGCATTTTGTTTTATAACCATTATTTAAATTTCTTGTTATAACTTTACTTAAATTTGTATTGTATACAGTTGTCATCTTTAGAAAGTAAAAAAGCAGGACAGACATATTTTTGTTATTGTTAGCCATCATGATGGCAAAACAGCTTTGAAAAGAAGGAAACTAAAATATGCAAACATAAGAATAAAGTATATGAATTTATTATATCATATATTTTAAAATATAACTATTGATATGTATTGTACTTTTTATTTGAACTTGTGGCATCTATTGATATTGCCAACTTTTTATGAACTAAGACCAAGATATTCTGACTAACTTTTATTAAACTTGTCTTAAATTTTGAATCTGAAAATATTTTGTAATGGCTTTATCCCACATTCAGATGAAAGGTAGTTATGATTGTACATAATCCTTTGGAAAGCATAACAATTTAGAAAGTATACAGTCAGTATTTTGTTTTGAAAATGCAGACATAAAGAATTTTATCACTATATTAGCTGTCTTTGCTACTTCCATCTTTGATTTGTTTAGCAGTTCTCGTATATTCTAGCAACCATCTTGAATCCTTAATTCTTTAATAAATTCCACTCTGGTAAACTAAGTACTTGAAAGTGAACATGTTTCTATCCTTTCCAAGCCATGATTCAAATTTCTGATCTTTCGACAGCTTGGTGCATCAGAACAGTGTCTTGACAAGATTGAAAAATTTGCAAATGGAACATTAAAATGTTTGTGAAATGTTGTTACTAGTGAGACAGAGACTAGTGCCAGTCATACATAACTTTTCTACAATTATTAGTGACTTTTTGGATCTTAGTCCAAGACATTTACAGAGATGGTTCTTCTCAGACCCAACAAACATAAAATGTTGCTTTTTGAAAGTAATCCGATAATTTAAATCAACAACCTGTTATCTTATTAAACTATCCAACCTTTTGTTCTGTTAACTGTTTTTGTTTTTCGTTTATATCGCATGACGTACAGTACAGCACACGTATTTGTAAAATCTAGGTGACTCGTACAACATGGAATTCATATAAAACGGAATTATCAGCAGTGTTATAGGGGGTCAACTGTATATTACATAATTTGTGTGAAAAGAGAAATGATCCAATAGAGAAAGCATAGCTTAATGAAATAAATCAGTCTGATAGTTTATCAGAGAGAATTTGTGTATAGGGATAAACAACAACAACAAAGCGATTTCAATTAGAAATGTTATTGCAAGAAGTTTTAAGGATGAAGATTAAGATTATAAGGGATTTAAATTAAGTTCTCAAAACAACGTTTACTACAGGACAATACTCAGAAGTTAACTGTTATATAGTTGTACTTTAAATTATGACATTGCTAATATTAAATAATATAAAAACTTATTCTTTTTTAAACAAGCTCTTGAAAAGCAGGAGACAGAGTATATAAATTTTATAACAAACATTAAGTTGAAATAAATTACTTTGAATAAAAACACAAACACTTGGCAAATTTTCATTTATAAAGTCAGGAAAATAAATATTTATATAGTTAATAAAATTATTGTTTTTACTTTTAATTTCGTTAATTATTATTCATAGATTTTAATACCTTTGATGATTGCAGGAGGACTGCAGTTATAAAGATTTATTTTCTATTGAGGAAAATAAATGACCATATACCAATAAAAATGAATTTTTATTTTGAAATCAATTACACAATTTCATTATGGATAATAATTCCTTTTGTAATTCTACACTTTCTCTCTGTAGTAGCAATCATTATCAATTTCCTTTCTAATTCAGAAACAGCATTACTTCTTTTAACTTCAGTTAATAATTCATTTATTTGCCATTCCAATGGCTGTTTCTTTCTCTTTGATGACCTTGTTACCCTTATTTCAGTTTCAAGTGGTACCAGTACATCTTCAATTAATTCTGGGGAATTTTCATTGTTCTCTAAAAGATACAAGCACAATTATTTAACAGTATACACACAATAAAGGATGTAACTTATATGAAAACATTAATTTATTAGAGTAAATGATGATTACATGTTTAACAACTGCAAGAAAAATCACTAGGACTTAAATGCTTAATTATATATGTAAAATGTAGTTTGTGAACATGCTTAAATATTTTACAATGTCTATCCACATAAATGTTTTGTAACAATTTTTAAATTTAACTGGTATTCCATAGTTCTTGCAGTTATATATGCCAAATGGTAATAAAGGTACACATGTGTAATTTTAATAATAAATTCCAGAATGTTGTGTTATATTTAAAAGTGACTGAGTATTATGAGAAGTTAAGTTATAATAATAAATATTAAAACAAACTCCTATCTCTAAACCTTTTACCGGTGAGATGATACGTGCACCGGTAAAAGGTTTAGAGATACAAGTTTGTGTTACATTACTACGGTGCTGATATTCTACCATTTGTATAATAAATATTTTTGACAATTATAAGTAATAGACCTTGATATAATAGGATACATCTAATGATAGTTTACGTATATCCAATTTAGGTGATTGTAAACATTCTACCAACACACTGCTGCAACTCTCTTCCCTTAAAGATACATTCTGGGCTGGCTGATGCCCTATCATTGAATTAAATTAACTACCTAGAAATATTGTCAGGTAGATGGGCTGCCTCCCAAATGCCCAATCTTCGTTACGTCTTCTCTGGTTAATAAAATAAAAAAAGAAAATTACATTGTTTCAAGTAGGAAGGATTAATTTTTTCTTTTAAAATTTAAAATTGGTTATTACTTTGATGTTTACATCATTTATGACTATCGTACGAGTCACAAGAAATATAATTTTCATCATTTAGTAGCAACGTTTCAAATATAACTTTAAATTAACGTTTAAAGAATTCCATATTTAAATATTAATGATCACGTATTTTTAAAATTTTAACTTACCTGTATTTGGCAGTTAAATATTTAATTTTTGTCCTTATTTCGGACCATGTTCTGGCTCTGGACGTTGGCCTGTGAAGACAAATGTCTGTTGACATTGCTTTGTATATCGTTTTATTTTGTTTGGTGCAACGTAAATCATCTATCTTTTCCCTCCATATATCGGTTAAAATTGTTACTTCCTCCTCTAAGCATTTCTTCTCACTTTGTTTGAACATTGGTACATTGCTTCTGCCATTATTTTTGAAGTTGTGGCAGACCTCCAGGAAAGCATGAAACGACCTAAGCTTTGAAAAAGAGATTTAAGCTGAGCCAGTTGTTGATAGTTAAACCAGTTTAAGTCAGTTTCGTTCATATTTCATACCTTAAGCTGGCTTAAAATATACAGTGTGAATAGAGCATTATGGAAAATGACTTTGAGTACTGCTATGACTAGTGGAAAAAACTTTGAAACCACTGTGACCTCACAAGGGTCGAACTTTGAAGGAGATCATTTGTAGTTTGATGTAACTCTTGTGTACTTTGAAATAAAAATTCAGGACACTTACTTTTGGGACAGACCGTGTAATTTGAACTCAAAGCGAGAATGGGAATACTGTCGGAAGTTCAAAGCCACAACACATTTTGGTGGCGCCAGTAGTTTTCTTTTCCTCTTTTGTTTTAATTGTTTCGTTACAACCATTGGACATGTCTGGTGTTCTTTAACATGGAAAATACAAAGTCAAAAGATGTTTTCTCTAGAAAATACCAGTTCAGAATTCCTTAAAATTTACTGAAGTTTGTTAGGTTAATTGCCAATGGATGTTTTTAATTAAGTTCTTCGCCCCAGAAAACTCGGTCCTTTCGGCCCCCCAAATTTTTTCAAAAATTTTTACCCGCGCAAAAAAATGTTATCGCGATTTTAATCTACCTTTAATGACGCACGATTAACGCTTAATTGTTTTTAATCAAATTTCACTCATCGTTCTAAAGTTGTAGTGCACAGATTTTACTTCGGTAAAGTTATTTAAAGCTAGTTTCTGATGTCAAAAATGACCTCCGATAGTTTTTTTAATTCTTTTAATTAATATATTTTATTATATATACGTTAATTAAGTCGGGGGGTCGGAAATCGCAAGAAAAATNGGATATTTTATTTATTTACATTTTGGCTCAATTTTAAAGCTTTTCTAAGATTTTTTAAAAATTCATTTACGGATTTTTCTAGTTTATTGCATTCTTTGAACGGAGTATAAGTCAAATTAATTTGGCTTGGGGAGGTAGTGGGAAGAAATTAAGGTAGATTAATAACTAATAACTTATTGCATTTTAGAGAAACGTTTACTAATAAATATCTGTAATCTGTATATAAAAATCCATAGATAAAAATAATGGAGTACAATTTTTTAATCGATCAACGTCTGATTTTCGTATTGCAGAATCAATTTTCTGCAGTTTACTTTTAAAACTAAATTGAATTAGGTAAAGTATTTCTCGTTGTACACAATCATTATGTTTGAAGGTTGTGTTGATGTTTATAAGCTTATGGCGCGAATGTAACTTAATGGAACGAAATATGATTATGAATAAAAAAATAAATAAAAATAATTGATAGAAAGTAAGAATGGGAAACGTGTAACGTAGAAATATAGTAAAACTTAACTAAATTTATCTTAAATGAGGGTGTAATGAGTAACATTTGCAATACATCAATGAGAAAAAATACGCAAAAAGAAAATTGAACGCTGATGAAAGTAAAATAAAAAAAGTAATATTAAATAAAATATATAAATAGAAATAATGAAAAGATAGAAATTATAACGTAGCTGCATGTTTACTTATTAAGGTTTGGTGTATGAAACTTAACGATCTGCAAAGTTACGAGCTGACGTCACTATTTGCAGATATCCGCAAGGAATTCATTTCGTGTGCATAAAAGTGCAAAGTTAAACTAGTAAATTTGGTATCATTAACAAACGCTGTTCTGTTAAATCGATAATAGTCCCAGTGTTCTGATAATTGAACTAATAATAATAAGACTTTCCAAATAATAACATCCAATTAGAAGAGAGGTTTCTGTTTAAAATAAACTTCACATGCAAGAGAAAAAGAAATGCAATAAAAATTTACGAATTTGAACAGAAACAGAAACAGTAATAAATTTTAAAATCAGACAATGTGCATGAAAACGTTAATGTGCACATGGGAATATGGTTTAATCAATTCCTTTAGGATAAATTTCTATTACCCACATGATTGTCAGTTTTCTATGATGTCAAATGATTAAAATTAATGATTTTCTTAAGTTTATTTTTGAGTGGTTGTGGTTAAACATCGTGTTAGGAGGAAGTGAAGTAGAAGGAGAAGAAATCCAGAAAATTTATTATTGTGCTGATGCTGATTACTCAAATTAGCTAGTCTTCTTAATAGATCCAAAACAGCAATTCATCATGTTTTTTTGGGAAAGGAAAATTATGTACAGAACAAGAGATTTGGTCGAAAAAAATCACTGTCCTCGCATTATTATACGCATGATTTTTGGTCTGGCAACTCAAGAGAACATGTTCACAAGAGAGATTTTACGTGAAATTGGGACAAAAGTTTCACATGTAATTGTATGGAAAATATTAAGGAAAAACAAGAATGCAAGTTACAGAAAATTAAAGGATAAGCTCAAATTGACTGAGGCATATAAGCAAGATTAGAGTGGGCCAACAAGTATATATCCTGGATCAAAGAGTGGAACAATGTGGTGTTTCAGACGAGAAAAAGTATAATTTTGATGGACAGATGGGAATAATGCATATTGGCATAATTTGCGCAAGGCACTTGGGATTTTTAGTAGACAAATGGGTAGAGGCTCTGCCATGGTTTGGGGAGCATTGTATTACGGTGCTAAACTCGTTTTTGTTAAAGTTAGCATTAAATTAAAATCTGAAAATTGTCAGGTGTTATTGGAAAAATATTTGCTCTCAATTAGATCACGATTTAGAGGAAGAAAATAGTATCACAAATTAGACAATTCTCCCTATCATATAACTCAAAGACAACTTAATATTGGTTTAAGCCTTAAGGCAAAAAGATAATGTTTTACCTTGGCCATCAAGAAGTTCTGACTTAAATCCCTTTGAAAACTTTTGGGGAATTTTAAGTCGGAAGGTATACGCAAACAATTGCTAATTTTGAAGTGGTCAAGAACTTGAATGTGAAATTATGTTCCAATAGAATAATAGTGACAACGACCTACTGAAAAAATTCATAGAATTAATGCCAAACAGGTTATTTAAAATTTAATGATATAAAGAAATGGAGCAACAATCAACTATTAGTCAACAAAAAGTTATTTCTTAATATTTGTTTTCATGGTGGTCTTATAATTTATTAACAGTGAAAATTTGACTTTTGTAAAACTAATAACTAAAACGTATTAAGATTGTTGAACTAATCGTTTAAAATTTTATTATTTATTGTACTTACTTTGTTCAGAATAATAATTTACCATTAATAATGTTTCTAAACACTTATAAATCGGAGAATTAGTTGACTGGACCTACTATTCATGACATCATCAATAAGTACATCGGCTTTCTGCTGTAGAAGAGCCAATTTCTACGATCATCACTACAAACAATACAGAATTGTACTAAATATATATATTAAAAAGAAATAAATAAATATTCTTTTTTCCCTCAAAACTCGTTTTCTGAAAAGTGATTATTATTACGTTTTCATCTTAAAGAATAAATGTTACAATATTAACTACAGTTTTATTGCATTTAACACGTATTTTTCATTTACACATCTTGGGACTCTTGTAAATTTGGTTCTAATGAAATGTTGAAAAATTGCACTTTTTGTAAGAAATGGTTCTCAATTCTTTGTCTTAATTGTAATTTAAAGTTTTTATCATACTTTGAGTCATAAAACTCTGCTTTAAACATTTTAAATATTTCACATATTTATGGAACGAAATACTGTATATACATTGTACAGAAAGAAAATGTAAATACATATATTTCGTGTATTCAAATCTTTAAACAAATATGTTAATTCTTCTTTTTCCGTTGTGTATTCATTTGATAATTACAGTTAAGAAGCTTTTTAAAGATAACACTTAAAATATTTTAAACACTGAAAAGAGCCGAAAAAAGGGAAAAATGTTAATTAAATTTACACAATTGTTCAGACTTTACTACAATAATAAATTACTTGGCAACGTTTTTATATGGAAACTTTAAAGTAATAAACATTTATTTGAAATTTTCAGTAAAATGGTTGTGAAAACTGAAAAGTATCATTTTATTTTATAATTCCCTTACATTTCCAAAATAAACTTGAAAAATCTTTTTTCCTTCACATTTTAAAATTCCCTACATCCAGGAAGATATCCATATACTTCGCAATTCTCCACTGAAAACTCAGTAAAATTAACGCTATCAATGTGGCGTTAATTCTTTTTGTTGCAAGAGTACATTTGGAATTCAACAATTTACAAATTCCCCACGAAAAAATTCAACAAAATGTCTAAAAAGTCCAAAGTAGCAATAAAGTAGCAAAAAATAGTTCAATAGGATTTATTCTCTCTACTGTCATATCCGGTTAAAACATGTTGCCATTAAAGAACAGAAAAATCTAGCAATTGTTACAGAGTCCGATTTCCAGTAATTAGCTTATTCACTCATAGATGCGTTTAATTACTGGTAATTTTAATAACAATTGTAATGACTGACATGAACGCCATCAAAGTGCTACTGTAGCGAAACAATTTTGCTAAAGATATTAGTCCTCGGGGTATTAGCGTCAATCACATTTGTTCGATGTGGTGACTGTGATAACAATAAACATCAGGTAGAGCGAGATAGTAACCTTAATTGCAGCACACAACTAATCCGATGAAATTTGTCGTATGTCTTACAATTAAGAACTACAGTTACAATTGTCAGTAATTAAGCGCGTTTACGCTTGAATAAACTAACTACAGTTTGAAGTTATTTTAAATATGACATAGATTTTGCGTGATTAGCAGCAGGAAGCGGCGATTTTCAGAATTTTTATTTTTTCCGTAAATCTCCTTCCAATGGACTGAAATGTGTGTCAACAAAAATTTCGTCTTTGCAGAAGGCACTGAATACGGTGATTTTATAAAATAGAAAGCAATACAAGATTCTATGTTCTACAAAAGAACATAATGTCACAATCAAATCATCAAATTGTGCTTATGTGAGATCAGCCCGGACGTAAAGTAGGTTACACCACTTACTGGCACTAGTCGGTAAGACCAGTTCTGTTACTTTTTATAACAGGGCTTTTATATTCAGCTTGATGAGGATTAAAGACTGTGTAGTCTCTATCCAAATTGTCAGGTCCCGACACCAGTTTGTCAATTTATCGATCTGCGGACAAACACGCGTGCGATTTCTTTCAGACACAAATTAAGAGTCATTTCGGTTGATAAACAAACAACAATAAATTTAATAAAACCAAAGAAAATAAAAACTAATATAAAATACTAATGAACGAGGGATATAAATACGACAATTAAGATACACGATATAGGCATGGACTTATACTATACCCGATTCGCGATCGAGAGAGAGAGCTCACAAAAGCGTTATAAAACATACAACCTGGTTTAGTTGTCGTTCGTCTTCTTCTCTGTAGGCAAGGGACACTTTGGAGATAAAGTTCATTTACTTCCTTCCATGGGAGATCAATATGTGCACAAAATCCAAGTATAATTTCTAAGTGCTAACTCTGGAATTATTCTATGTTACTCGTCTAAGGGCGTTGGTCATCAGGAGGAAAATGTATGTGGAGTTCGTACACTTTCAGGTCTCTCGATGAACTCTCCGAATTCTGACAAATTTCCTCTATATGTCACGATCGGCGACCAATCATCATGCAAAGGGGGATATGTGAGGGGTAAACATTTCCCATCAAAGCGAGTTTTCGCAGATAAGGGAAAACAGAGGATGTTCTAACTTCTGTGAAAGGAAGTAACATCTGTTATCTGCCTTTTCCCACGTTTAAAACATTATTTTCTCACCAAAAATGAATTAATATTTGGTGACAATATTTAATATTATTAATAAATTTACTGGTTTAGACCCAGGGGCCTTACAGGTCTCACACTTACTTATGAATGTATTACGAGAAAGTGAAGTTTAATAATCCTATTTTACAAAATAAAATAAATCTTAATGTCGATTAGTAATATTAAAATATAATTTTATTGAACCAGAATGTGATTAACTTAAACTAAGTTGAGAAAACTGGATAAAATTTTGATCTTTGATCTCTCATTTCTTTCTTCGTTCTGACAAAATAATTGTGTTAAATCTAATTACATGAATTTAATAGATAATATAGTACATTATCACTTTCAGTTGGCACATTTTGGACACAAAATATCGTCTCCATTTATAAAAAATCCTCTTCCGGTTAGTGATACTTTACACGTGGCACACACAAAGCAATCATTATGCCAATTTCGATCTTCGAAAGTTATGAAACGTGCCCCACAAATACCTGTAATTATTAATTTTTGTGGAATAATAATTTTATATTTATATAAATTTAATTAAAAACTAACTCGTAATTGGTGTCTTGCAAGCGGTGCACTTTTTTGCGAACAATTCTCCAAAGCATTCGGCGCAATAGGGTTCTTCATTTCTGGATGTAAATCGCTGTCCGGCCAAATACGTCTGGCAGTTAGTACAGCAAAAACATTCTCTATGCCAATGTTCATTGCGAAAAGTAACACCACTAACACTAATTACTTGATTACATTTGATGCAATATATAGTGAATTTTCGTTCGTAACATGTCATGCAATATATGTCATTATCTTTAGGTATGAAGTTTTTGGTGCCTATTGGGTTTGTACACACCACGCAATAAAAACAGTTTTCATGCCATTGCTTATCTTTATATTCCATCTTTCTTGTACCTATTATTAATTTAAATTTAAAAATTGACAATTAGTACAATAAAAGTAGATTTTTAATTAAAAAATTATCCAAATATCTCTATACCAGCTTTAAATTTTTCACCGCATTTAACACATCTAGTCGCGTAAGACACTTCGTAGCATTTTGCACAATAAACTTGGTTCGCATTGATGCCAAATGGTTTATTTATCAACGAAGTATGGCATTCATTGCACAAGAAGCACGCTTCGTGCCAATGTTTATTTTTGATGGAGAGATCCTAAAGAATATTCGTAAAAGTAATGAAAATAAACATAAAATTTGTAAAATTATGAAAAGTATATTAATAAATAAAAATAAAAACAATTTTTTCAACCTTCGAGTCTACTTCTATTGCTTTTCCACATTTTTCACAAATATTGCTGTACAGTTTTTCATAGCAGCGAATGCAAAATGGATTATCATCTCTTGGAATATATTGCTGCCCAGTTAGATTTTCATCGCATTTCCAACAGCAGAAATGAATTGTATGCCAATTTCTGGACATTGCTCTGATATATTCACCAGAAAAAATAAGCTGAAAATCAAAGATAAGTTCAATTTGTTCCATTTATTTTATTATTCGATAAAACAAAAAATCGCTCACTTCGTCACATGCTATACATCGAGGTCTTATTTGTTCTGCATAATGACGTTCGCAGTAAATTTTACCTCCCAGAGCACAGCAAACTAAATCTACTAATAATTCTTCACATACTGAACATACGAAACAACCCGGGTGGAACAGATGCTTTTCTCCCAATTTTGAATTTACCACTGCCAAATCTGTGAGCATAATTGTTCCTCTACAACCATAGCACTAAATATAGACAATAAATTCAAATTTAAGCTATTTATATTGAACAATAATTTTTTAACTCCTTACCGAAGTGTGTTCTAGAACACTTTCCACGTGAGCAATACTCATTGCACTTTTCTTGCGCTCATTAATAAAATCTGAGTAATGCTGTTGGCATTCCTTCTCTAAAAATTTACAAAATTCTGAATCAAGATCTTGTTTAGGGTGTTGCACAATAATCTGTTTTTCGCGATATTTTTCACCAGGTGTCCCTAGTCGAGGAACTTTCTGAGGAGGAATCTGTGCGAAATATGATTGTATCTGAAAATATGAAAATGAATCTGTAACAATTTTCTTAACTTCTACAAAATTATAATTTTGCAAGATGATAGTTTACTTCATCTGGAGATAAACGTGATGGTATCCAAGAATATCCTTGTTCTATAGCAGTCCGTTTCAAAAGCATTTGGTCTTGTTCATGTTGACCTTTCAGCCCAATTCTTTCTTGGACGTTAACCATATATTTGTTACAGATATCGTGACATTCTTGTAGGCATTTACAATTATCGCAAATATTCCTATTAGTGAAATAAAAATAATTATCAGAAATTATAATCTGACTACTATATTATACTTTTACTTTCCTGGCTATTATAATGTAACACGGAAAAGTATTGTAATCGTCTTAAATGTTTACTTTCTTGGCTGTTATAACATAATATCGAAATCGTGTTACACTTGACCTTCTGGGTTTTGGAATCTTCACGATTTCAGACCCTTGAACCCAAAATATTCAAAAAATTGGTACCCGAAATGTATGTGTGTGCTGGCATCTATTTCGTTTCATATCTCAGAATTGGATAAAGATTAAGAAACGAAATTTGGGATACTTGTCCCTTATACTTGTGTATAAGGGACATTAATGCTATTAAATTTTGGTGGTTATATGTCGAGAGGGTGGAATATAGAGCGGTGTCAAGCGTCATATCTCGAGTGTGGTTAAACTTAATGAAAGTTTTACTCGTTACTGGGATTTACAATATTTTTACAAACTTTTCATTACCCTCAAAATTAAGCCTCTTTTGCCTTTTTTTTATAATAATTAATAATATAAAAGTTATTTTTAATAACATTAATAACAGTTGGTGTCATACAATATTAACTTCGTGTTAATGTGTTAGTGTCTCTTACACATAAGTATCCGGGAAAATTATGCAATTAGTTGCTTGTAAGTATACTACCTCCAAGGATGAGGCTTAAAACTCGGACATTTACTTCCGCATTTCAAACATGATTGTCCTTCATCTACTTCTTGGATTAGTATGTCCTGAAAAACACATGAAAACTTTTTATTTTATGCATTAATTTAAAGTTTGATCGTTGCCATTGTATTTTATAAGTTAGAAACGTTATAGGGAATCATTATTTTCATTAAAAATTAAAATATCTTTTGTGTGACTAATATCAAAAGCATTAGATAAGAATTATAATATAAAATTATTGTATTAAACTAGTCCAGAGGCTCACATATAAACACATGTACAAAACTTAAAGACAAACACATTGTTAGAGATAATGAATAGAAAAAGTCAGTGAACCATTCGGTGACGATCCTGCCACGACGTTTTGAATGCTGCATCCTAGTTCAACGTGGACATTCCATACTGACAAGTCTCTCTGCTTGGATATTAGTAAGCATTTTCCATTCATTGTCCAACTGCTGTATGTGTATTATTTATCAAAGACTTACTTTTGTTGCTTTGATTTACAAAATCCTACACCGTAAAATCCTACGTGTTAGACGTTGATAAATTCAGTTCTTGCCATATTTGTCTGCATTCATCTATAGTTTTCTCTATTCATGTACAAATGTCTTCCGTTCTTAAGTTTTGGACACGTGTTTATTCCATGCAAAAAGTAGATACATATACGTTTTTTATGGAATATGTATGAACCTCTGATGATGGGCTTATCAGCTAAAAAATTCTTAGGTTAAAATTTGAATTTATTACACTCCTGAAAGCAGTAAATGTCCGGTTTGTTAATTAAGAAGTCTTTTATTATTTTATGTAAAATCATTTATTACGAAAAATAATGATGAATTACTTAAAAATTGTCAAAATAAAATATATTAAATATTTGACTGCAACTTTCAATAAATAATTCAAAATAACATTTACAAAAATCATAACTCCATTGCATAATAATTTCTAAACATTTTATTTTCTAGAAATAGATTTTGTGTCATTTATGAATTTAGCCAGGCTAAAATAAGATTCCGAAGGTTAAGCGATAGAAGTCCAATTCATCCTGAGTTGGAAAAATTTCTAAAATTCTATTCAAGTTCCTCAGAAAACTAAACGTTTTTACTTTCTTGGCAATTTTCATTGGAAAACCCTGGCTGTGTGCCACCGAGCTATAACTTGAGAAAAAAATGGCTGTTTGCAATCCTACCATCAAACAACATACGAGGAGGCTGGATTCCCTGAACGTCCCGTTTTGTCGCAATGCACCACGCACCATTATAATGGTGCGAGGGGTGACGAACTGACAGGCGAGATAGTTCTACAGACCAGCTGGCCATCAATAAGTACAGTGAGCCATACAATAGCAATGGAAAGATTGAAGTGCTCAGAAAGTCTTCAACACTATAACACTGTGGTCGTCCGTCCCTAAAGAGAATAGGGATTTGTCTTCAAAGACTATTTTAAGAAATTCTGCTGCCATTAGCTGGCTGGAAATCGGACCACAACTATAATCATTTACATATCTGATGTATGTAAATGTAAGACATACTGTATGTATGCTAAGTTTGATAATAATTCGGCAATTCTATTAGGGTGTGTAACTTTATTTCTCAATAGGTGTAGTTTTATTATTAAGCTTAATAAATAAAATGGTTTTTAAATTACAGTTTAATAGCTAATTAATCTCATTAGTCCTAGACAATTAATAAATCGGTAACAGTCATAAAATTTTTATATGGCATTGAATGAGTAACTTACCGAAAGTTTGTAGTCCCTTTTCTCCATTATCTTTTATCAAAATTATGACTGTTTTAAGAGAAATTCATATTGTCAATGATCTTTTGTTACTAAAACTATTGTTAACACATTTTGTTATCCTGCAAAATTTATTGTTTTGTATTTAATGTAATATTTTATTCTTCTTAAAATCAAGATCAGAAATGAAACATGTTTACATTTTGTGGGTGTGAGTCTATGATTAGTGAATTATTTTCTGTTTTTAAACGAAAATATTTATCTGCAACAGTTCTCAATCAGTAGTACGCGTACCACTGGGTGTACACAATAAGGATCTGTTAGTACTACAAGTCTATACACAGAAGGCTCAGCTGGTACGCCAGTGAAAAAGAAAAGGTTGAGAACTGCTGCCAGAAAGAAAAATGTTATTTTTATTTAAACAAAATATTTTGTAAAAGAATAAAAGAATTTTCATTATTTTAAAAGTACGTTTCAAAGTTTAAAAGTAAGTTTATAAAAAGTTTTTAATAAAATATGCTAACAGATGACGCCACCAAATGTTGCCGGTAAAGTTAAGCAACTCGTTGCTGGATTTTTAGTTTGGTTGCTAAGAAAAACTCCGACATCAAAATAGAAAAATGTTCATAATTCTAAAAGTAAAATAATTATACCCCAAGTTACAAATTTTACAAAGACATCCTTATTTTCTTAATTTAAAATAATTAGTTTGACGTATAAACGTAGAAGGAAAATATTAAGTATATCTGACTGTGAGTTAAGTCAATTAAGAATAATTTTAAGGTAATAAGGTAAATATTTTGGCGTTGGGTATACAGTAATGTTTGGTAAGAATCATGTTTCCTGCATTGCAGCAAGGTTTGCCTAATGCTATTAGGTAAACAATTAATGACGTAATAAAAAGATATTTTTCTTAACGTAAAAAAATTATAATTCACATTTTTAAAATGAAGACAGATTTTCCTTTCTTTGAAAGTAATTTTAAAGAATTCACACAATTTGTAAATTAAAGAGGTCACGTTACTGCCATCTGTTGAATAAAGCTGAAATTATTTATTTAAGGATTGTTGCCATATTTAATACAACTTTACTAGCTTTGGTATTATTAATTCTTTTAATGTATTAATATTTCATTTGCAATGATAAGTAATTTTTAATTCATTTTATAAATTTAAGCTCTTTCTATTACTTTCTCTGTTTTTTTAACATGTAAAGTAATTCTTGTATAGTGACCTCTGGTGGAAATGTAAACTTCCGTTTTATTAAGATACAACTGCCACTTTGAATCAAATATAATAGACCCCACTATAACGCGAGTTCAAATAATGCGGATTCGTATATCGCGGCGAAAAAATTGCGACCATATTCGTATAAGGACGCTAAAAGAGACTCGTAAAATGCGGTAAAACGTCATCGCAATAGTGGACGAGAAGCCGAACTACTTTCCGCCGTTCAGCGCCACGCTACGGAGATTTTAGGCGGGCAAGTTGAATTTACTATCGTCTTTACAGTATTATATTTAAATTATATATAAATTAGGTACTGTATATATAAATTAGGTTTATATATATAAATATAGGTTTGTTTATATAATTTATATNCTTAAATTAGGTACTGTAAGTCTAATACAGTACTGTAATTTTATACATTTCTTGTGAAAAAAGCATTTCTTATTCAACGGCCATAAAAATTATTTCTATTAATGATGTCTCCAAAGTTCAACAAATTTTTCGCAGAAAAATAACTTATCAGAAAACGCGGCCGCCGTTTGGTGCCCTGCTCTGCGACGAAAACAAGCTTAAGTAATGGCGTCGTCGAACGGTGCACACTCGATAAGTTATCCTACAATTTTTCGTTTATAGCATAGTTTATACGGATTATTCCCAAAAATTATACGTAATTTGGAAATTTATTTACTATTGAACACAAGACTGTGTTATTATTAAAACACTTGGCGTTTATCCACTTTATTCAGTTGAAACTGAATAAAGTGGATAAACGCCAAGTGTTTTAATAACACAGTCTTGTGTTCAATAGTAAATAAATACGAAAACACGGTTTCAAAAAACGAATCAATTAATAGACTTTTTATTCAACATATTGACTCTCACCAAAACATCAAATTTCCAGCAAAANCATTTCTTATTCAACGGCCATAAAAATTATTTATATTAATGATGTCTCCAAAGTTCAACGAATTTTTCGCAGAAAAATAACTTATCAGAAAACGCGGCCACCGTTTGGTGCGCTGCTCCGCGACGAAAACAAGCTTAAGTAATGGCGTCGTCGAACCGTGCACACTCGGTAAGTAATCCTACAATTTTTCGTTTATAGCATAGTTTATAAGGATTATTCCCAAAAAATTATACGTAATTTGGAAATGTTGAGTCAAATTAGTCTAGAATCAATTAATTTTATGGAAGAAAACCTTTCAAACAGTCGTAGTCCGTAAACTGCACACTTGATGGGCTGTGATTGGCTCACGTATTTAAGGATTCCTACAACGCGAAATTCTTATAAAGCGGAACGTATCTACCGCGTTATAAGGGGGTCGACTGTATATAAACTTTCCAATCTTATTACGAAGTATTCTGAGATAATACTATTGGCATTCATTCCACGCTTACAGAACATTTTATTTTCTTATTCATTCTATTCTCTAGAGCAGAAATGACCAAAAAATCATGGCCAAANTTTGGTATACGTCCTATTCGGTATAAGTCCAAACACCAGGAACGGATTAAGGTCGTATACCGAGGTTCCACTGTATTATGTTTCATAACTAAATTTTAACTTAAAATTTTAATCTGTTCTATTGAAAATCTCTTTTTTAATTGTTTTTTTATCAATTTTTTGAAAGTTTTTTTAAATAAACGAGACTGAATATCGTACGTACTGTATTACGTACGATATTACACGCATATGTAGAAATATATTGATTTAATGTAGTAACTTTTTCAGATACACTCTCTATTACCATTGCCTACAGTACTCTACTCGTTTTTCCAAAATTAATTAATATACAAAACAAGGAAAATTTGAAGAAAACATCCTATATTTCGCGATATCTCTGAAGTTCCATTACGTTCCTAATGAACCGCGCCACCTTGGTTGATGGTTGAATATCACGTTGAGTTAAGGCGTCCACCGCTTTGGGAACCTGGAATCGAATCCGGGCGAACGACTACAGAACATTTTACGGGGCGGTCTGACCTGAATATATCAACCTCTGACCTTCACTATCAGATTTTCCCAGATCCCATTGTAGACATTTTTAATTCTTGTTGCCTTGTACTAAGAGGGCCTTGTTTCATCCTCATCGTGGGTTCACTTAACAGAGTTTAATTAAAGAATCGAAAAAAATCGAAAAATCGAAAAAATCATATCATCAAAAACTCATAATCATAAATAAAAGTTATGAAAGTTCGAGTCGGATCCGAACCTGAATTATTTGCGGCAAGTTACTGTAAATATATAGCAAATGGAACATTCGTTCGGGCACATCCATGTGAAAGCTTTTGAAAGCAAAATTTCTAAAAACAGAAATTAACTTTATATTTCATATAATTTTTAAATTTATAATTTATTTGATAAATTTTTACAAATTATCCAAAAATAATTATTAACTTAAGTTTTATTTAATTATTTATTTATTTTGAAGTTTTTAAATGCCAGGAGGCGTTGTAAAAGGCATTTAACATGTGTTTTAGGTGAGTGTATATTTCTGTGTAATGATGATTTCGAATTTCAACATGATTCTGTCTAAATTAAGTAAATTCGTGTGCATATTTTGGTTTTAAGACGTCTAATTTAGTTCGTTAAACACTATAGAAAAGAAAGTATTAAGGAAAAAGATTGTGTTATGCATTCGAAAGTAAGTCGACAGAGTCAGTTCAATAAAATTCTCCAATATGTTCGAAAATTTGAATGTTTTACATCAAAGTCAACATTATATTGTGGTTAATAAGGAACCAGATATTGTTATTAATACTGATTTTCCAGAAAAACATCCTTTGACATTAGAAAATCAACTGTTCAAGTGTTTTCCTCATTTAGTTGATGGAAAATTTCGATTTTGTCATCGTTTGGATTACTCTACTAGTGGAGCGATCTGTGTGGCTATCTCTAAACATGCAGCCAGAGAGGCTTCCAAGGCTTTTGAAAAGAGAACTGTAGAAAAATACTATTTGGCTCTTGTACATGGCCATGTGAATGAAGACTTGTTTGTGATTGATAGAATGATAGGGAATGATACACGCGTGGATTTCACTCACCGCATGTGTACCTGTGATAAATCATATTGTGATAACCCCAAAACGTCTGTGACAGTTGTGCTGGTACTCCAACGTGGTCTGTACAATTGCAACTGTCCTGCAACTAAAGTCATGATGAAACCAATCACAGGTAGAAGACACCAATTGAGGGTGCACTGCCACGATATAGGTCATACTATAATTGGTGACTACACTTACAGTGACCGACAGGATGTGATGCCTTATCGCATGTTTCTGCATTCATATAGACTGGTCATTCCTTCTGATCTGGAACACATTGATGTTATTACTGATGATCCTTTTACTAGTGAAATAGAAGAAAATAAATGGTTGCCATTAGAAACAGTCAATAAGTTGGATAAACATGTCTTTGATAAAATAAAGTATATTTCATGAGATTCTGTTTAGAATCTCATGAAATATACTTTTATATAATGTTTTAAAAATGTTTTATATAAATTAAAGCCAATTTATTGTTGTGTATAACATCTTATTAAAGGGATAAAAAAAATACATTGTAAAAATAAAACTATTATTGAACTTAAGAAGAATAAAAAAAAATAAATATTTCTGAGAATTTCCACTTCAGATGATTTTTAGACTCACTTAAAATTATTGAAATGATTGATTTATCCAGATGAGTAAATCATTCCAAACTGGAAATCTGTATATTTTTCCAGTAGTTTATTAGTAGAAAAGATAAATGTTTTTGAACAGTTTGAATGCCCTACCTCAGGTCCATTATCACTGTTCTGTTTAGAATAAACTTTGTAAATTGAATACAGGTAACTGACCTGAGGCAGACAGTCAAACTGTTCAAAAATGTTTCTTTTGTTTTTTCCAGTGGTTTATTAGTAGAGACGGTTAGAAGATTGATATACTTATCCAGATGTTGGAATAATATCCAAACTTTTAATTTAATTATATTGACACTTCTCAATATTGAAGATGTTAAAAAGATTTTTGAATCGCTTCCTTTCTTTAAATGCTCACTAGTAATTGAGTGGATAAAACCATTGAACATTAATGGTTTTGGGTTCATACCTAATCAATAAGCTCGCCATATGGAATTTTCAGGTTTCTTTCATGTGTAGCACCAAAATACGAGATGCTTTC